AAAAAAAAAAAAAAAAAAAAAAATCAATGAGATATTTTTCAGTCAAAAGATGAAAGATATTTAAAAGTGAAAAAGTAGATACTACTTTATAGTGAGTGATCTTAAGTATTTGCACAAATGAAGCATTTTGGAAGCAACATAGTTATAGTTGAAAATTGAAACTACCCAGAATGTTTTCTTTCACAATTGGAGAGATTTACCCAGATTTCTGTAAGGGAGGAAAATGCTACCACCTTCCAGTCTCTGTGTTGTCACTAAGTATTTGACTTTTTATTTTTAATGTGATGCTTTCTTTAAAAAATTCTGTAGTATTTAACATCCAGTACTTGTTGAGTGCTTACTATGTGGTAAACACCATTCTAAGCATTTTACATACATTGGTTCATTTAATCCTCAAAAAATTCTGCAATCATTTTTTTTCCATCCACATTTTACAGATGCAGAAACCATCACACAGAAAAGTTAAGTAACTTCCCCAAGGTTACATAACTAGGAAATAGCACAGCTTGGATTCAGACCCTGAAGCTTGGCTCTAGAGTCTGTGCATTTAACCTCTTACTATGCCACATTGTTTCTCAATCGGTCTTCTCTAATTCCACCATTAATAGCTTGTTGTTGTTTTCAGTAACTTTTCATGACTTTGAAAGCAGTTTCACATCTTGATTCTCACAAAAGTCTTGAGCTAAGTAGGATAGGTATTATTATTAGCCATGTTTACAGCTGAATAAACAGATGATATTAGATAACTGTCTAAAATGTATCAGAAACAAGGCTAACATTCTGCCATTTAAAGTCATTGTTCATGTTCCAGGAGAGGTGGACTTTGGAGTCTCAGTAGTGTGACTTTGAATTCTGGCTATACTAGTTGCTGGCTAAATAATTTTGTTAAGTAACTTCTCTAGACTTCAATTTCCTTGTCTGTAAAATGGGAATATTATTATTTTCCTGTCTCACAGAGTTGTGATGGTTAGAAGAGATAACGCATGTGAACCTTTAGAACAGTGTTAGGCTTGCAGTAGGCTATTTTTTGCTTATTAAAAAGCAGAAATTGAAAGTGATAATAGAAGACTGGTAGAAAGGTAAAATGGGCTCTTTTTGCAAAAGAAACTTAGATTAGGCTAAGTTTTCTAAAGCATGACTGATCATCAGAATCTCCCAGGGAGCCTTATTAGTGTACAGATTCCCAAGCTATACCCCATACTTAGTAAATCTGAATCTGTAGGGGTTGAGTCCAGAAATCTTGATTGATTGATTGGTTGAAGGAAATGGGTCTTGCTGTGTTGTCCAGGTGGGACTTGAACTTCTGGGCTCAAGTGATCCTTCTGCCTCAGCCTCCTGAGTAGCTGGGGCTACAAGTGCATACCACTGCACCCAGGTAGAAATTTGTGTTTAAACAGACACACACACACACACACACACACACACACACTCACTCTCTCTCTGTCTCTCTCTCTCTCTCTCTCTCTTTCCCCCGCCCCCTCTTTCTCTCGCCCTCTCTCCCTCTCCCCCCTTCCTGTGAGATTCTGATGGCCAGCCAGGTTTGGGGACCATGAACCAAAATATACAGATGATCCTATCCTGAATGGTCAGTTTTTAATACTTCCAGGTTATTTTTCTTCCCTTATGCTATTATTTTGTTATGAAATAACTGAGTTTAATAGTTATTCTATTAGAATATATACTGTAATAATAAAAATATTACTATAAAGAGACATTAAAAAACCCAATAATTCTAGTTTTTATTTCTGTCTTCAGAACTCTGAACATGCATATGGCAACTTTAGTAACAAGATAAAAAGGCTCAAGTTTAACTTGAAAACTGAAAGGACCAGTTTTCATTGTTAAGATTCAAGACTTTATTTGCATGATGAGTACATAATATGTGACACAGCAGTTGTAAAACTTCAGAGGAAATATGTTTAGCTGTTTTAATAGTTCTTTTATATGTTACTTCTTAGTCTCTCTTTTGCCTTTCAAGTTTTCATAGCCATATGCTCATATACTGTTTGTTCATACACTGGATGGTTGACATTCACATACGGTTCCTAATCCTCATTTTCTCCAATAGGGTTATCTCTTTCACCAAAAACATTGCCTTAAGTTAGAAGCAGAGAAAAACTAACAAAATCCCCACCACAGTAAAAATGACAAGCTGCTTAATCTTTTTTGTTGTTGTTGTTAAATCTGAAGAGTTTAATTTATCTTTTCCTAATTTCAGATTGTTTTTTGAAGTGAACAGGGAATGCCATCAATAAAGAAAAATAGCCTCTTTTTCTTCTTGCTGCTTAGTATTTGCTCAGGTTTCCATGCTTCTCAATTGGCCAAAAAGCAGGTAATCTGAATAAAGAGGAAAAGAAGCAAAATGATGTACAAACTGGATAATTTGTATGCTAAAATACGAAACAGTGCATTTTAAAATCACAGTAAAATAAACATCATATACATTTTACCATTTTAACTGTTAAGGGTATACTTCTGTGACATTAAGTACATTTTCATTGTTGCACAGCCATCACCACCACCATCCACATCCAGAATGCTTTTCATCTTGAAAAACCTGAATACATTTTTATTTTTAATTTAATTATTATTTTGAGACAAGGTCTCTGTTGCCAAGGCTGGAGTGCAGTGGTATGATCTTGGCTCACTGCCACCTCGGTTCAAGAGATTCTCCTGTCACAGCCTCCTGAGTAGCGGGGACTACAGATGTGCACTACCACATCCAGCCAATTTTTGTATTTTTAGTAGAGGCAGGGTTTTGCATGTTGATAAGGCTAGTCTCAAAATCCTGACCTCAAGTGATCCACCCACCTTGGCCTCCAAAGTGCTGGGATTACAAAATGAGCCACTACACCTGGCCTCTGAGTGTGTATGGTTTATTTTTGTTTTTGTTTTCAGACAGTCTCTTACTTTGTTGCCCAGGCTGGAGTGCAGTGGTGCCATCTCAGCTCACTGCAACCTCTGCCTCTCAGGTTCAAGCAATTCTTCTGCCGCAACCTCCAGAGTAGCTGGAATTACAGGTGCCTGCCACCACACCCGGTAATTTTTGTATTTTTAATAGAGACAGGGTTTCACCATGTTGGTCAGGCTGGTCTTGAATTCCGGACCTCAAGTGATCCACCCGCCTTGACCTCCTCTGAGTGCATTTTAAAAAGATATTGAAATATTTGAAGACTGTTCTGTGAAGGCAGGAATGTGGGTAGATTTATAAGTCCTGTCATGTCTGTAATAAGCATGTTGCTGTTTGCTCTGGGAACTCAAGCAGTTATATCTGTAGGAAGATCTCAAAAGAGCACACGTTGGAAGGGATCACTAGCAAGTCCCCTAGGGTTTCAGAACACCAATCTGAACGCTTACCTTTCGTATGTGTTTGGCTTTGATATTTTCATAGACAAAATGCAATTGGAGAGTTGACTTTCAATGAAAATTGTCCGAAAGCACATACCTGGTGAATCAAATTGGGGACCCCTAGTTTCCCAGCCTCTCAAAAGGAGAATGATGAGAGTAGAGTGAAAGCCAGTTAAGCTGCCTTACCACAGTCAGTTTCATGAGTGTTAAGGGTGAATTTCCTTTTGAGAAGAAATGGAAGTTTCTTGAATGGTTTGCAAAGTCTTAAAGGGATCACGGAAACCTGGAGTATTATTGCTTTCCTTGTTTTAGAGCTGAAATTATGAAGAAAATGCGTTTTATGCATATTTCTTTCAGTGAAAGTCACAAGAATTTTTTTTTTTTTTTTTTTGGCAGAGTCTAACTTTGTCAGCCAGGCTGGAGTGCAGTGGTGCCATCTTGGCTCACTGCAACCTTCGTCTCCCAGGTTCAAGTGATTACTTGTGCTTCAGCTTCCTGAGTAGATGAGATTACAGGCATGCAACACCACACCCAACTAATTTTAGTAGTTTTAGTAGAGACACGGTTTCACCATGTTGGCCAGGCTGGGCTCGAACTTTTGACCTCAGGTGATCTGCCTGCTTTGGCCTATAGGCATGAGCTACCATGCCCAGCCACAAGAATGTTGCTGATTTTTGTACCTGATGATCTGAGATTTTTTTCCTGGTTCTAAAATTCTGTGATTTCTTCCAAAGTTCAGGACCCAAAGAAAGTTGATGCCCATATGCAAAGTTCTGTTAAATCTAGGGAGTGAATGTCAGACATATGATTATTTTTTCTAGATTAGAGGATAGGATCTTGATGAGGAAGTCATTAGTGACTTCCCCAAGGTAACATGGCTAGGAAATAGCAGAGCTTGGATTCAAACTCATGAAGGTTGGCTCCAGAGTCTGTACATTTAACCTCTTACTATGTTTATAATAATTATTAGGTAACAATTATATTGAATAAAGACAGGGTCTTGCTATGTTGCCCAGGCTGGTCTTGAATTCCTGAGCTCATTCAGGATAGGATAATGAGAATTGGAGTCTAGTAAAAAGTGTCCAGACATTGTTATGTCAAGCAGAATCTACATGTAAACATATTTGGTTTAGCTGAATGTGGTGACATGTGCCTGTAGTCCCAGGTGCGCAGCAGGTGGGGGTAGGAGGATTGCTTGAGCCCAGGAGTTCAAGGTTTCAGTGAGCTGTGATCCTGCTACTGCACTCCTGCTTGGGCAACAGAGTGATAATCCACCTCTAAATATTAAAAAAAATAATTAAAAATATGATATGCAAATTTGCTTGTAAGAGGTAAGAAAGGAAGGAAGCTCCATGGCTGTTTCACATTTGTGTGTGCTATAACATTTGGATTTATTTTTTTATTTTTATTTTTTTTTTTTGAGACGGGGTTTCGCTCTTGTTCCGCAGGCTGGAGTGCAATGGCGCAATCTCGGCTCATCGCAACCTCCGCCTCCTGGGTCCAGGCAATTCTCCTGCCTCAGCCTCCTGAGTAGCTGGGATTGCAGGCATGCGCCACCATGCCCAGCTAATTTTTGTATTTTTAGTAGAGACGGGGTTTCACCATGTTGACCAGGATGGTCTTGATCTCTTGACCTCGTGATCCACCCGCCTCGGCCTCTCAAAGTGCTGGGATTACAGGCGTGAGCCACCGCGCCCGGCCTGGATTTTTTTTTTTAATGGAGTCTCGCTCTGTCTCCCAGACTGGAGTACAGCAGCACAATCTCAGCTCACTGTTACCTCTGCCTCCCTGGTTCAAGTGATTCTCCTGCCTCAGTCTTCCAAGTAGCTGGGATTACACGTGCATGTTACCATACCCATAAAAATTTATTGTTACCATACCAATAAAAATTTTTGTATTTTTAGTAGAGATGGGATCTCACCATGTTGTCCAGGCTGGTCTTGAACTACTGACCTCAGGTGATCCACCTGCCTTGGCCTCCCAAAGCGCTGGGATTGCAGGCGTGAGCCACCGTACCCAGCCCGGATTTCTTTTTCTTCAAGTGTACAATTCAGTAATACTATCCGATGTGTTTGGTTCAGATTATTTTGTGCAAATGAGATTTGTTCCAAAAGAAACTCCACAGGAGACAGAATTACTCTTATTTAAAATGCTCATATTCTCAATGGTGGTAAACAACAATTCATAGAAGATTATGAAATGGCTAGGTGCAGTGGTGCATACCTGTACTCACAGCTACTTGGGAGGTTGAGGTGAGAGGATTACTTGAGCGCAGAAGTTCGAGACTAGCCTCAACAACATAGCAAGACCCTGTCTCTTAAAAAAGACAGGGTTTTTTAATAATTAAAAAAAACTCATATTTCATATGAGTTTTTTTAAATTATAAAAAGTGAATGTTTTTCTTTCCATTTCTACCCAGTTAAAAAATAATTCTCTTCCTTTGTGCCTATTGTTTTTATTAGACAAATTATTTGAAAGAACAAATCTAAGTTGTGGTTTTAGTCATTTAGGATTCCTTCAGGTGGTATTAGTGCATGAATTCAGCCAATTCTTTGTCTATTTATTACTATCATTATTAGTATTATTATTACTAATAGAGACAGGTTCTTGCTGTATTGCCCAGGCTGGTCTCCCAACTCCTGAGCTCAGAAGATCCTCCTGCCTCAGCCTCCCAACGTGCTGGGATTCCAGGCCCTCAATTTTCTTTGGGTACAGACTCAGTGTTTTCTGCATTTACACACTGGAACTAAGGCGAACGAAGAGAGTAGGGGATGTGATTGGGGCAGCACTTTGCTTGTACTTATTCCCTACTTCTATGCACAGCCTGGTCCTGGACACTTTTTGTGACAGCCAGTGTTATTCTCAGCATCTCACTGCCTCTTGTTTTGTGAGACATACTGGGATTAAGGAATGATTATTGAACTCTAAAAGTTAGTTTTGTCTTAGTGTGACTGAAAAGTATTTGGTATAATTTTCATTGTCATAATCTTTGCCATTCCTGTGACTTACAGGGACTTGGAGAAAAAATTCAGATAGTATAGCACTGTCAACCTAAATGTGAAGACATTACTTAGCAACACCTTTTCCCCCCTTCTCAAAAGTATTTATATTAGGCCCCAAATTTGTATTTTTGGTTAAAAATGTCATTGCAGATCCAAAGTTTCATTTTTCATAAACTGTTTATTGGATTGTATAAAGTCCTCTCTCATTCCAAAAGAATATTTTTGCTGTCAAAATATCTCTGAGTAAATGGAAGGTGTAGTTGTTTGATATCAGAAAAAAATAAGTTAAAATTCCTAGATTTTGACTGGGTGTGGTGGCTCACACCTGTAATCCCAGCACTTTGAGAGGTTGAGGTAGGTGGATCATGAGGTTAGGAGATTGAGACCATCCTGGCCAACATGGTGAAACCCCATCTCTGCTAAAAATACAAATAATTAGTTGGGTGTGGTGACACATGCCTGTTGTCCCAGCTACTCAGGAGGCTGAGGCAAGAGGATTGCTTGAACCTGGGAAGCAGAGGTTGCAGTGAGCTGAGATCTCACCTCTACACTCTAACCTGGTGACAGAGAAAGACTCCATCTCAAAACACAAAAACAAAAAATCTTAAGATTTTATCTACTACATATGGGTGTTTATGCTCAGAAAAATTTAAATATTTGTCCTCATCTACCAAAAACTTAAAAGTGGTTAAACATAATTATGTTGTAAGATATAATTTAAAAATTTTGTACTAAAGGGAAGTTGAGGCTGGGCATGATGGCTCATGCCTGTAATCCCAGCACTTTGGGAGACCAAGGCAGGTGGATCATGAGGTCAGGAGTTCAAGACCAGCCTGGCCAACATGGTGAAACCCTGTCTCTACTAAAAATACAAAAATTGGCCAGGCGGGCACCTGTAACTCCATCTGCTCAGGAGTCTGTGGCTGAGGCAGAGAATTGCTTGAACCTGGGAGGCGGATACAGCAGTGAGCCAAGATCGCATCTCTGCACTCCAGCCTGGGAGACAGAGCGAGACTCCGTCTCAAAAAAAAAAAAGGAAGTTGCTAAGAAATAGAGCAATAATTTTTGTTAATTTGGAAACCATGGCAACACAGTAAATATTATGTTTCTTATGTTATGTCTCTTAATTTGTCTTTCAGTGTTCTTTTGGCATGAGTGTCATGGAAAAGTAAACAAAATTAAACACAGTGAACTCTGAGCCTTAGCTACCTGAGTTAGTCCTTTTCTTTTTCGAGACGGAGTTTTGTTCTTGTTGCCCAGGCTGGAGTGCAATGGCAGGATCTTGGCTCACCACAACCTTCCCTTCCCAGGTTCAAGCAATTCTCCTGCTTTAGCCTCCCAAGTAGCTGGGACTACAGGCATGCACCACTATGTCCGGCTAATTTTTTATTTTCAGTAGAGACAGGGTTTCTCCATGTTGGTCAGGTTGGTCTCAAACTCCTGACCTCAGGTGATCCACCTGCCTCGGCCTCTCAAAGTGCTGGGATTGTAGGTGTGAGCCACTGTGCCCGGCCTAGTTATTTTCTTTGGATGTTTTACTTTCTCAAATTTTATATTTTAAATTTCTTGAAATTAAGGCATAGTCTACAAAGGCCCAGATTATACAGTATCTCTCTTCTTTCCATGCCGGTTGCATAGGTTTTATATTATGGATATATGTGCAGGCTGGCAATTCAAGACTTCATTGGCTCAGCTAAGGGCATTTCTGTCAAATTATAAACTGTGAATTTGTCTCCTTTAAAACAGAAGTTTTAGCACCATCATCACTGTGACACAGAAGTTTTAAAGCTAGAGGATTTTCTTCTTTTAAAGTCGTTTGAGTGTGTTTTCACATACTACTGTACTATTTTGTTTTGTTTTGTGACGAGGTCTTGCTAGGTTGTCCAAGCTGGACTCGAATTCCTAGGCTCAAGTGATTCTTCCACCTTGCCTCCTGAGTAGCTGGGATTACAGGCACCACCACCATGCCTGGCTTGTTTTTGAAAAACTCTGAACACAGAAAGATTTTGGCAATAATACAAGTATCCATGAGCCTAATACCCAACATCAACAAATGTTAACCTTTTGTCACAGTTGTTTCAGATCTTTTCTTTAAAATGTTAGGAAGAAAGGAAGGGGGAACGAGAGAGAAATCAAGTTTAAGGCCCTTTGTTTCACTCCTCAGGCCTATTGCTCGCCCTCCTCCTATTAAGGAATCATTGTGATAAAATAAAAATTTGTCCTTCCTGTTCATGTTTTAAAGTTCTGATAACTTCTGGTCCCACCGCCTGGAGCCAATGTGTAGCTATGAGGGGCCATGTCTCGCCACCACTGCCCAGGCTGGCTTTGGTGTTGGGTGCCAGGCCTGCCTCACCTGTCTTGGGGTGCCCAGGGTAAAGGCAGGAGTAATGGTTATTCCTGTAAGCAAACTGAAGTGTGACAACAGTCTCAAAGGGTCTGGGCCATCAGCCATAGCATCTAGCCCCACTTAGAGGATTCTGTCAGAGACTAGTTGATTGTTAAAAGGTTGCAGAGCTTGAGCTAATTTACCCTGAAGTGTATTTCCTGATCTAAAAAGCTTCATTGCTTTCTGCTGACCGTAGCCCCAGATGAGAGTTACTACCAGGGTGGAAAATTTCAACTTGAAACTGGACTTCCTGATGCATACAACATGGTGCCTTCCAAAGTGAAATGCCTGACCAGGATCTGCTACCCCAACATCCCAGAGATGGGGGAGATATGTCTAAAGTTTACTGAGGTCATTCGATTGACAGCACTGGCTGGGCTCCCATGAGAACATTAAAGATGTTGTTTGGAGATTAAATTCTTTGTTTACTGATCTTCTGAATTTTGATGATCCACTGAATATTGAAGCTGCAGAACATCATTAGGGGGACAAGGAGGGCTTCTTGAGTAAAGTAGATGACTACATCAAGTGTTACACTAGATGATAAAAGGAGTAGATTGCAGTCCCGTGGACTGCGTGTTACAGTTTGTTTCTAACATGAAACAGCGGCAAAAGGCAGCACCTCCTCTCCCGTCCCCTGACTCTCCCTCCCAGTCCCCCTGGATTGTCCCAGTCTTGTGACCACATTGTTCTGAAGAAGACCATCCTCATGACTGCCCATTGTAGATGGAGAATTCAACATAAAGACAGCAAGAAAACTTATTTGGGTTTCTAAAGAGTTATCTGCTTACCTTGTGTTTTAGGCTGTTTTTGCATTGCTGTGAATACCTGAGACTGGGTAATTTGTAAAGAAAAGAGGTTTAATTGGCTTATGGTTCTGCAGGCTGTACAAGCATGGCACTGACATCTGCTTGGCTTCTGGGGAGGCCTCAGGGAGCTTTTACTTAAGGTAGAAGGTGAAGCAGGAGCAGTTGTGACATGTGGCGAGAGCAGAAACGAGAGTGCAAGGGGGGCAGCCAGATCTCATGAGAACTTACTGTTGTGAAGACAATACCATGCCGTGAGGGATCCACCACCATGACCCAAACACCTCCCACCAGGCCCCACCTCCAGCACTGGGGGTCACATCTCAACATGATATTTGGAAGAGACATCTAAACTATACCACCTTAACTTGTTGACTTTTTGAACTTGTATTGTTTAGGCTGTTGGTGAAATTCTTTAGAAGTTATAATGCAGAAACTGGACCCCTTCCTGACACCTTACACTAACATTAACTCCAGATGGATTAAAGACTTAAACATAAGACCTAACACCATAAAAACCCTAGAAGAAAATCTAGGCAAAACCATTCAGGATATAGGCGTAGGCAAGGACTTCATGACCAAAACACCAAAAGCATTGACAACAAAAGCCAAAATAGACAAATGGGACCTAATCAAACTCCACAGCTTCTGCACAGCAAAAGAAACAGTCATTAGAGTGAATCGGCAACCAACAGAATGGGAAAAAATTTTTGCAGTTTACCCATCTGACAGAGGGTTAATATCCAGAATTTACAAAGAACTGAAACAGATTTACAAGAAAAAAACAAACAAGCCCATTCAAAAGTGGGCAAAGGATATGAACAGATACTTTACAAAAGAAGACATGCATGAGGCCAACAAACATATGAAAAAATGCTCATCATCACTGGTCATCAGAGAAATGCAAATCAAAACTACATTGAGATACCATCTCACGCCAGTTAGAATGGCGATCATTAAAAAATCTGGAGACAACAGATGCTGGAGAGGATGTGGAGAAATAGGAACACTTTTATACTGTTGGTGGGAGTGTAAATTAGTTCAACCATTGTGGAAGACAGTGTGGCGATTCCTCAAGGACCTAGAAATAGAAATTCCATTTGACCCAGCAATCCCATTACTGGGTATATACCTAAAGGATTATAAATCGTTCTATTATAAGGACACATGCACACGAATGTTCATTGCAGCACTGTTTACAATAGCAAAGACCTGGAACCAACCCAAATACCCATTGATGATAGACTGGACAGGGAAAATGTGGCACATATACACCATGGAATATTATGCAGCCATCAAAAACGATGAGTTTGTGTCCTTTGTAGGGACATGGATGAACCTGGAAACCATCATTCTCAGCAAAATGACAGAAGAACAGAAGATCAAACACCGCATGTTCTCACTCATAGGCGAGTGTTGAACAATGAGAACACATGGACACAGGGAGGGGAGCACTACACACTGGGGTCAGTTGGGGGGAAATAGGGGAGGGACGGTGGGGGGTGGGGAGCTGGGGAGAGATAGCAAGGGGAGAGATGCCAGATGTAGGTGATGGTGAGGAAGGCAGCAAATCACACTGCCACGTGTGTACCTATGCAACAATCTTATATGTTCTTCACATGTTCCCCAAAACCTAAAATGCAATAAAATAAATAAATGGAAAAAAAAGAAAAGAAAAAAATCAAATAGGATATATGTAGGTGAGAAAAATAAATAAAAATCTAGAAGTTTGAAAAAAAAAAAAAAGTTATAATGAACTCAAAATTGAGGCTGGAGCTTTCTTATTCTTTTTGCAAACAAAATTGATTTTCTGCCCAAGTGATACTCATGACGTGTTCAGTGTAACTTGCAAATTGGAATAAGAAACCTACTACAAATTGTTATTGTGTGCAAATGCTCTTAGTATCTTCTATGAATGTTGGCCCTGTCTAGATGTTGTAAAGTTTCTCAGAATGCATAAAGCCTTTTACTGTAGACATTTTTATTGAAATGTGTATTTTATTTAATTTAAGTATATTTTTGTACCAATTACATTTTTACAATGTAATGCTTCATTTTTTTGTATTCTCATTTTGTGTTTTGTATTTTCATTGCATAGGGCAAAAATGTTGGGTTGGTTGAGCATGGTGGCTCACGCCTGTAATTCTAGCACTTTGGGAGGCCAAGGTGGGTGGATTATGTGAGCTCACAAATTGAGACCAGCTGGGGCAACATGGTGACACGCGCCTATAGTTCCAGCTACTCAGGAGGCTAAGGTGGGAGGATTGCCTTGAGCTCACGGAGGTCGAGGCTGCAATGAGCCATGATCATGCCCTAGACAACAAAGCGAGACCCTGAAGCACTAAGTGTGCCCAAATAGCAAATAAAATACTGGAAAACTGATGTCAAAGATGGAATTTTACACCAATAAGTGATTGCTGATCTGCAATTCATGTCAAAATGTAAGGGTCAAAATATTTAACCTCAGATACAGTACGATTTCATGGTTTCATTTTTCCCTTAAGTAATGCATTTAATTGTTCATGGTGTATGAAATATTTGTGCAATCAGAAAAGAATCAAATAAAAACAGGGCTTAAAATGACTTAGTTTTCCAATGAAGCAACAAACATACAAGGTATGTTTCTCTACTGGGTGCCAGAAACAATGCTTGGCACCTATACGAAATTAAAAAGTGAGGAGCGTAATTTATACTCCATTGCCCCCTCCCCAGATCACATAGTTACATTTTATATTCTTGCTGAGGGAATAAAGCATGTATATATGAACAAATAGGAAATGGTCATAAAAACAGATAGTACATATGGTTTCCACTGTATAGATACTTTCTGAAAATGGTAATAAGACCTATCTTGAGAGTTAATCATGAAAATTAATTGACATTTATATTAAATCAGTACATAAATTGTCACGAGTGTTTCAAATGTTAGTTTATTTCATTATTATTAGGAATATTATTATATGAAGGAGTAGAATAATGGAGAAAGCATGGAATTTGATGTTACACACATTTGACAAAGTTTGGCTCTAAAGCATGCTAGGTGGGTGATTAAAGTTATTTTATTTCTTTGAAAAAAACAAACAAACAAAAAAAACAAAAAAAAACAACCAACTAGGAAAGATGTCGAGTCAACTGCCAACTGAAGTGAAATACAAAGAAGCTATGAAAGACATGATTCATTTTGTCCAAATGCAACAAGATTATGGCTCTAAAAAATCATCTGTTGCTCTCAGGTCCACATGTGGCAAGGACATTTTGGAGCTCTTTGAAACTCAATCTGAATGATAAAAATTAAAACAAGCAAACAAACAAAAAGGCAGGGAGCCCATTCTCACATGCTGCCCAGAGGAAACTGGCTAGAGCTGGGACCTGCTGGGGTTGGTGTTCCTGCGGTAGTCATATGACTGTAAGCCAGTAGCTACTTCTTAGGGTGCCTCAGCCCAAGCAATGTCTGATGCCACTGAGACTGTACCTGCGGCCACCTTCTGCATTTGCTTTGGCTCTGGACCCTGCTCGGGGGTGAGCCTCTTAGGCCTTGGGGGACCAGGAATCAGCAATGGCATATGCCATACTTGGCCAGTTTAATGCACATTGGAGGAAGAGCCTGGAAGTGAGGCAGGTGGATTTATTCCAGCTTTTAGACATTTGAACCAGTGAAACCAAATGCAAATAAATGTTTGTCTGGTTTCAAGAAAAAGTTTTAATATGTATCACCATAAACAGCCTTGCTTAATGGGTTTTTGTGTATTGCCTTCTAAGAGCTCTGTAGACAACAGGTGTGTAAAACAGCTAGCACTATGATGGGAAACTGCCAGAATTGTAAGTAGTTCAGTATGGCTGGAGTGGGGTTAGGAAATGGGAGGAGGTGATGTTAGAGAGGAAATAGGGACCAGTCATGAAAGGATTTGTGTGCTGAGGAATTTACATTTGATTTTCAAAGCTTGGGGAGCCATTAAAGGGTAAATCCTTTTTTGGATTTGAATTACAGTATAATTGCTTTAGTCACCCAGTGGATAGTGAGTGGTAGGAGGTAGAAGGCAGAAAACAGTTAGGAAGCTGTTATAGTTATTGATTGATTGATTGAAACAGGGTCTCACTGTGTTGCCCAGGCTGTAGTGCAGTGGTACAATCTTAGCTTACTGCCACCTCTGCTTCCTGGGTTCTGGGATTACAGGCATACACCACAACACCTGGTTAATTTTTGTGTTTTTTACAGAGATGGGTTTTAAGACAGTGACAGTGGGAATACAGAGGAAAGTCTGGATAGAAGAAATAGTAAAGAGAATCTTGATGGAATCTAGTTGAGACTCAGCAACTGAATACGGAGAGAGGATAGAAAAGAATGAGGACTCTATTGCAAAAGTAGTTGGGGTAGTTGATGGGGAATATAAAAAAGAAGAGGAAGATTAAGGGAAAGATTATAAATTAAATTAGGGTTGTATTGAGTCTGAGGTTCTAGTGGGAGAGCCTCAATTTTTTTTTTTTTTTTTTTTTTTTTGAGACAGAGTCTCACTCTGTTACCCAGGCTGGAGGACTGTGGCACGATCTTAGCTCACTCCAACCTTTGTCTCCTAGGTTCAAGTGATTCTTGTGCCTCAGCCCCCTGAGTAGTTGGGAATACAGGTGTGTGCTACCACACCTAGCTAATTTTTGTTTTTAGTAGAGACGGGGTTTTGCCATGTTGCCCAGGCTGGCCTTGAACTCCTGAGCTGAAGTGATTTGCTTTCCTCAACCTCCCAAAGTGCTAGGACTACAGGCATGAGCCACTGCTTCCGGCCTCAATTAAAAAAGAAAGAAAAGGCTTCACAAATTTGCATGTCATCCTTGCACAGAGGCCATGCTAACCTCTGTGTCTGTCCAGTTTTAGTGTATGTGCTGCCACATAATTGAGTCCACAGCCTCAATTTTTAATAGCAGTTGGATCAGGATTGTGGGAGAAAATTCTAGGTTGGGCATAGAGATTTACAGTCTAACAGTATGACCTGGGAGAGAATATAGAATGACAAGAGCAAGAGATCAATCAAGCTTGAGAGCTTTGGTTATATTAAAATTTAAGAGACTAACAGGGAAAAATGTGCTTATGAAGGATTCTGAAGTAGAGAGATCAGAGAATAAAGTGGAAAACCAGGAGACACTAGAATTGGGGAAAGCTAAGAGATGGGAGTTTTAAGAAGGAATGTGTGTTTAGTGATATCGGAAGTCCAGAAAGGACAGACGAGTTAATAATAGAAAAATTCTATTGGGTTTGATAGTTAGAGGTCATTAGTGACTTTTGCAATGAGCAATTTCAGTAAGGTGATGTGAGCAGAAGCCAGATTGCAGTCGTTTGAAGAGACTGAGAAGGTAGGAGGGAGGTGTGAGAAAACTTAGCTGTAGAGAAGACAGGGTAGAATTGGACGAGGGTGAGATTTTCCACTTGCCTTTTAAAGATCAGAGAGACTTTGAACCTAGTTACGATGAAGAGAGTGAACCAAGAGAGGTAGAGAGCAAAGATGAGGAAGAGAGATCAGATAGTTGGGACAAAGTTCTAGGGAGGACATCATAAAATAGAGGGTGTGTATGTGTGTGAATGTGTGTTGCGGGGGCTTGGGAGGGTTTGACTTTCAACAACAGCAGAGATAGCTCTTCCAGTAGAACCACAGGAAAAGTAAGAAAGAAGGGTAAGACTGGGAAGTCTGTTAGTGGCTTTGTGGGGTGTGGCGGGAATGCCTTCTTCAGACCTTAAAATGTCTTGTCATGAAAACGTTGGCACAGGAGTGGAAATACTGAAAGTATCAGAATTGTAGTCATGAATAAAGTGCTGAACTGGAAGGTCTTGCAGAGAAACTGTTTCCATTGGTAATTCAGATCATTTATGTTATGTATCTTGGAAGTACCTTCCTGTTTTTCTTGTTGCTTTTTAAATAGGCTACACATTTTTACTGTGACACAGTGTTGATGGGTACCCATTTTGTTTTTAAAAACCTTGTACAGTTCATTATGCAGTAGTCTCTTCTTCATGTGGTTTCGCTTTCTGAGGTTTCAATTACTTACGTTCAACCACAGTTTGAAAATATTAAATGGAAAATTTCAGAAATAAACAATTTGTTTTTGTTTAAATTGTGTGCTGTTCTGAGTAGCATGCACGGTCTTGTGCATGAATCATCCCTTTGTCTAGTGTATCTACACTATATGCTACCTGCCAGATAGTCTCACAGGAGCTGGCTCTGTTAGCAGGTTGACTGTCATGGTATCATATTGTTTTGTGTTTGAGTAATCTTTATTTTATTTAATAATGACTCCAAAGAGCAAGAGGATCCTGACAATTTGGGTATGCCAAAGAGAAGCCATAAAATTCTTCCTTTAAGTGAAAAAATGGAAGTTCTCAGTAAGGAAAAAAATTGTGGGCTGAGGTTGCTAAGATCTGTGGATGCATCTTCTGTTCAAATTGTGAAGAAAGAAAAAGAAATATGTACTAGTTTTCCTACTGCATCTCAGACTGCAAAAGTTATAGCCACCGTGTGATAAGTATAGTTATGATGGAAAAGACTAGATTTCTGAGTGGAAGACATGAATAAAAACATGCTCTGATTTGTGACAGTGGGATAGGGCTTGGTACCATCCGCAGTTTCAGGCATCTATAGGAGGGCTTGGAACTGATTGCCCTTGGATAAGGAGGAACTACTGTATACGTACATGTATGTACAGAGTACATACATCCTGAAGAAATACACTTATTTGTGGTTCATTACATACAGTACTTAAATATACATACCCTTCCCCTCTTTCCAGATAGTAGTCTCAAGTGAAATTCAATTTATGGATTATATTTTAGGGAAACAGCACTGTCTAAACCATTGAATAGGTTCCATCTTAACTTGTAGACCCATTGGGTGTATGGAAAATTTAGAATACGATTGATTGGCGGTGCATGAGTCTCTGATTTGGAATGCCACCATGAGCCACAGCAAGTTTATTTTAGCCTGTTCCCCTCTGTTTATTTAACTGAAGCAGAACAAAGTCCAGATTTAAAATTCAGAAAGTTTAAGAATGCTTTGATTATTGGACATCACAGAATATAGCTAATCACATTTTACTTCGAGACGTTTTTACCTCACTTTTTCCTTGGTGTTTCAGGTAAATTAATTCAACAATGGAATAGTAAGGATGGTGGCAGCCTGGCGACAAAATAAAAAAATGTTGCCGGGCGCGGTGGCTCAAGCCTGTAATCCCAGCACTTTGGGAGGCTGAGGCGGGTGGATCACGAGGTCAAGAGATCGAGACCATCCTGGTCAACATGGTGAAACCCAGTCTCTACTAAAAATACAAAAAATGAGCTGGGCATGGTGGCACGTGCCTGTAATCCCAGCTACTCAGGAGGCTGAGGCAGGAGAATTGCCTGAACCCAGGAGACGGAGGTTGCGGTGAGCTTAGATTGCGCCATTGCACTCCAGCCTGGGTAACAAGAGCGAGACTCTGTCTCAAAAAATAAAAATAAAAAAATGTTGTCACTGCTTTTTAGTTCTTTTGTATGTATATACCCATAAATGGAATTATTGGATCAAATGATACTTCTGTGTTTTAGCCAACTTTATTTTGTTTTGTTTGTTTTTTGAGACAGAGTTTCACTCTGTTGCCCAGGCTGGAGTGCAATGGTGCGATCTCAGCTCACTGTAACCTCCACCTCCCGGGTTCAAGTAATTCTTGTGCCTCAGCCTCCTCAGTAGCTGGGATTACAGGCATGCCACCACCATGCCCAGCTAATTTTTTCCATTTTTAGTAGAGACAGGGTTTTGCCGTGTTGACCTGGTTGGTCTTGAACTCCTGGCCTCAAGTGATCTACCCTCATTGGCTTCTCAAAGTGCTGGGATTACAGGCGTGAGCCACCACACCCAGCCTTTATTTTGAATTTAGTTAAATCTTGGTTGTCCTTTATTATATCCCATTTATTTTGTATGTATGAGGTGTATATTAAAATTAATCTATAGCAGCTCTTTCATCTGATTGTATTCCAAGGTGAAAATGGTAATGTTAACTACCTTGAAGTATGTTTTATGTACCCATAATTGTCTATTCAAAAATAATTTAAAAATATATCACAATAAATTGTAGAGCATACATTTCATCTACTATGTTGGAATCAGTGTTGGCTCCTTGCTACTGTTGCTTATCCATGTTGTTTCAAGCATCTAGTAACAATGTATAGAAAGAACCAGATAAAGTAGTTTTAAATCCTGTTTATTTCTTTTAAAGCATGTGGTTTTAGTGGCCTCTCTTTAACACAATCTCCAAGGGAGGTAACATATAACTCTAGTTGGCTAAGTAACAGAGGGAAAGGTGTTTGTGTCTCTGAAGCCCACCTTCATTCTGTTCCCTTCCTTTATATAGTTAAAAATGTCTTATTAAAGAATAGATTTTAATTATCTCTAAGTTGGGTTTTATGAAGGAAGTCTCATTTTAGTATAGATTGTACAGAATTGGCTACAGACAAATCTTAGAAGGATAAGAATCATTCCACTACCATATAGAAACCAGACAGAAGATTTCTAAGCTATTTCCTTATCTCATTTCCTTGATACTGTGACCTATGGCCTACAATTCATTTGTTGTTGTTTTTTTGTTTTGTTTTGTTTTGTTTTGAGACAGATTTTCGCTCTTGTTGCCCAAGCTGGAGTGCAGTGGCGTGATCGTGATCTTGGCTCACTGCAACCCCTACCTCCCAGGTTCAAGCGATTCTCCTGCCTCAGCCTCCCTAGTAGCTGGGACAAAAGTCATGTGCCAGCACGCCTGGCTAATTTTGTAATTTTAGTAGAGACAGGGTTTCTCCATGTTGGTCAGGCTGGTCTCGAACTCCTGGCCTCAGATAATCCACCTGCCTCAGCCTTTCAAAGTGCTGGGATTACAGGTGTGAGCCAGTATGCCCAACCTTCATTTATTTTTTTAGTAGACATTGAGGCACAAAAGTTGTGGGGTGAGGGAAGCATGGAATTTTAATACAACATAATAAAGCCACAGTAGAGCCATGGGTATAGAGCCTTACTTTATGAAAGAGGGAATGGGGGAAATCTTCATAGATGGTGATATTTTACTGGGTAAGAGAAGGGAGAACAGTTGCTGCCAAATAGTTTCTGAAGAGAACGCAATAGAGTCCAGGAGTGGAGAGAGATGGGATGCATCCAGTACATGTGAACCAAGTAGAGTAGTCCCCTCTTATCCATGGGAGATACATTCCAAGCCCTCCAGCAGATGCCTGAAACTGGATAGTACCAAACCTGATTGCCATCAATCAGAACACGATTCTGTTCATGTTTTCCACCTACAAATGTAATGCCGTCTCCATCGTAGCTGTCATGCACTGTGACTGTAGCTTTTGCAGTTTGAGGTGCAGCAGTAAAACTAGCACAAATTTCTTTTTCTTTCCTCACAATTTCATGGATAGATTTGTTCTTACCATAGATCTTAGCTACCTCAGTGCATGATTCCTTTTTCTTTAAGTTTACAACATTCACCTTTTCA